TATAATCATCCGTATACCAAGTTTCATTATGATAGAATGATCGGAAAGAAAGTTATAGCCATATAACCAGGCCCAATGCACACATACATACATATGTACAAGTACACTAACACGCATAAGGCACGATTCTGATGTAAATGTAAATGTATGTATACATGCATGGAATATTTTATATTTAATTTAGTTAATTAATTAAATTAATTAAGTTAATTAATTTAATTCAATTAATTAATTAATTTAATTACTTTTTTGTGGGGTGGTACAGGGTATTTAAGAGTTGAGCCTGCTCGACTTTAGCATTCCTTTCTTGGTTTTAAGTAGCTTAATGTACCATGTTGGCAGCAGTATACATATAATGGAAAACTCATTCTTCTTAGGAAGGTGAGCACACTTAATAAAATGGTAGAAGATGATCAAGATTACATGATTTCAAAATTGGTTTGTGCACTCTGTAACTATTATTTCACAGTGTTTGAGTTATTAAGAATTCCATTCCTTTTTATAAACGACATCAAAAAAGGAGGAGGTTTTCAGTTCGTCTGTTCGTCATACCCATACGGTAAAAAGGGTATATTACGTTTGTGCAAAGATGTTATATATGGTTACACGATTTAAAATCGCATATGATCACTGTCTTTTTTTACACGACTTTTCCTGGAACCAATCTACCGTGTAAAAACAGAATTAGGTGTATTCCTTATCAGCAGAACGAGAGAAATCGATCTAGTCATGTCGTGCGTCCGTCCCATCTGTCTGTTCATCTGTCTGGATGACAGCCTGGATTTCAGAAGCTACTGAGCGCATGTTAACAAAACTTGGAATGTGTACACTCTAGTCCCTAGTTTATACGAGTATATTTTATTATAGCCTGTACCCAAAGGGTGAAAGGCTATACTAGTTTTGTGCGCATGTATGTAACACACAGAAGGAGGCGTGGCAGACCACACAAAGTATATATATTCTTGATCAGGATGACAAGCCGAGTCGATATAGCCATGTCCGTCTGTCTGTCTGTCCGTCCGTCAGAAAGTAAACAATAACTATAGTATAACTCCCGTAATTCTTGGAATTCTTGGAATGGTAGTCACATGCAGTTAGTGATTATATACCCGTATCCCAAGTTTCATTATGATACGTTGATTAGAAAGAAAGTTATAGCCATATAACCAGGCCAAAGCTCTGCCCGCAGCTGTATTTGTTGCTGCTTTGATTTAATTATGTAATGCACACATACATACTATATGTACAAGTATGAAATAAAGTAAATTTTTTTAATACATTTTTGTTGTTGTTGGGTAGTACAGGTTATTTAAGAGTTGAGCCTGCTCGACTTTAGAATTCCTTTCTTGTTTTTGATTGGAAATTTGTCTGGGTATATTTCACTTTCGGGCTTGCCCGACTGTAGCGTTCTCTCTTGATTTTTTGTTGCTGCTTTGCACACAAAAGCATAGAAACAAGCCCAGTGAAAGTTTATGAAATTTAAAACTTGCACCAATATATGTTTGATTCGTTATTATTTGTAATTACTTTTTTACTTTTTAATTTCATATACAGTTTACTATTATATAGTAAGTACAACAATTTCACAACGATCGGTACAATTTTAAGACAAAATATACCTCGGACTATGTACTAGTCTTGTATAGAATTTGTTGGTAACATTTAAGTGTCTTGTCTGTTATTTTAGCAATTGCCTCAGCAATGAGCCCTAGGGAAATAACGCTATTCATGTTTTCATTAATGAACTCTAAGTGGTCCTAAGCTTCAGTCATTAACGCCTTTCTGTGCGGTTACAGTCCAGTGCTCGCAAAACTCTTTCTTCCTTTTTTGTTTCTGTTTTCTTGACTCGTTCGCTATCGTACTTATTGGGCCACATTTTTCAAATGTCGTTCCTGTTGTCCCGTCGTTTAATGGTTCCTTCATTGTGCTGTGGCGGCACAAATATTTAGGCAGTATTTTATTTCATTACGTTTTATCTTTTGTTTACTAATTTCATTTCGTGGGCGCATATTAAAGGCCGAAGCCAGTTGAGCTTGGTGAGCAGGAAAAGGGGCCGTATGGCAAGGCAAAGCAAGGGCTTAATTAATTCGAAATTATTTATAACTTGCAGCCGGCAACCCCCAAAACGAAACAATATTGTTGTTTCGTCTTGTCAGTGCCAAAATCTAACAAATTTATGCATGACTGCAACAGGGTCAAGACGCTGCAAATCCTTAAATGCGGCAGCCCCAAGCGCTAACTCTAGACCCCAGCATCGATATGTAGTTTAGTCAATGTTGGAAACTTCAAAACAAAAAGAAAAACGACAACTTGAAGCTTTTAGGCGGTGTGCAACCAAAACGACAACTACGCTATAGATAAGCAGATTTATGAGCTGAACAACAAACTCAAATAGTCGATGCGAATGAAGCGGCGACATTTTGGGCGATTCTTCGTCCCGGCCCCCCCACTCATAGTTCCGTGCCATGGGTGCTCGGAAGCGTAAATGCACGATAAAACATAAAGTCGCCACACGCACACACACACACACACACATACATGTGCACTTCAGAAATCGAAAATGGTGCCGCACACATACACGTATATGCGTGGCCCTACTCATGTCCAGCTCTGTGGATGTCGCTAATGCTGCTGCTCCTGCAAAGATTTATGAGCATTTCTTTGGCAGGCTGTCTCGCAAGGATGTGCGACGGCAACAAAATGTGACAGCAAGAGGAATTGCCTGTAAGAGCATTGCGAGCCAGCAGGCAATGCGTAAGCAGTGAACAGAGGACAGGGACTGCGATAAAAGACAGGGTAAGGGTTAGGGTTTGGATAATGGGGACAGTAGCTTTCATAACTATTGACACGCAGCGTCAGCGTCTCAGCGTATAGTTTTACATACTCGTATGAGGGGACATAATGCGTCCTGTTCAGAAATAACTCAACTTTTGTGTCGAGCAGTAGAAGCAGGATCTGCTAAGCAAGTGCTTCGACAGTCCACCCCTTTTCCTCTGCTATTCTCGCCTTCCCCCCACCCTTTGGCGCTTGCAGGTGTCAATTTCATTTTCATTAAGCTGCTTCTGCCTCAGTGGGCTCACTAGCGACTGAGCAACAAGACCAAAAATCGTCGAATGGCACAGCCTGGCTCGCTTTTAATTTGCGTCACTTTTCTGCGCCACTCAAATTTCAAGCAACAACAATATGAACTACAACAACAATGCAAAGCACCTTCATTTGTAAAGCAGCAAGCGGGCAGAAGCCTTATTTGCGTTTCAGTTCTCCATTTTTGCATTAATTAATACTTACTAAAAATGAAAAAAAAAGAAGTTGAAAACATTAAAAGTAACCTAGAACCTCATGCAAAAACGAAGCAACTGCCAGCGAGGTAAAATTTTAATCACTTCCTTGCGATGTGTTTTTTTGGTTTCGTTGCTCTTAGTTGGTAATTTGAGTCTCTGTTAACATTTTTCGGTTGTCCGTGTTGTGGTTGACTCCGAGACTTAATTAAAAGTAATTTTATTTAAGTATTGGTGCATTTGGTGCGGTTTGATTTTTCCCTTACTTTGTTTGTGGGAAATTTAATTTGCAATTGAAATTATAAACGCGTTTGAAAAGTAACCTTCTTGAAGAAAGAGGTTCTGTTGTGCGTGTGGTCATCGGAAACGGACGCATAAGAGGCTTTTGGGCAACGGTAAAATGTTGGGCATTATTTATTTATTGGATATCTAGTAATGGGTAGCAAGTAGCAACGAATTATTGCCTATAATTACATTTCACGTGTTGTTGGTCTCCAAGTTTTTGCAGTTTTTGTTTTCTCAACAAGCAAGTCTGGAATTGGATTTGTAGCAATAACAGCATGCAAGAAAATGTGATACTCTACCTGCACCCAAAGGGTAAAGAGGTATACTAGCTTAGTGCGAATGTATGCAACAGAAAGTATAGGAACTAGAATAACCAAACTTGGCATTAAGATTCACCTAAGTCCGAGAAAATACAAGAATTTATTTTTTTCTGCTCCAAATTTAATTGCAAAATACAAAATCACTAATTGCGGGGTAGTAGAGGGGAGGGAGTTTTGAAATATACTTGTACTTTGTACACATATAGTATAAAGCATCTGTGATCTAGGTGTTCATACGGATACACAGACACACTGATTAAGAATTTATATACTTTATGGGGTCTGCCACGCCTCCTTCTGCTTGTACACTTTTCCACAAACCTAATATACTCTTGTACCTTTTAGGTAGAGAGTATACAAGTAAATAGCGCGCAATTATTAGCAAAACAAATAAACAGAATGCCAATAATAAATACAAACAGAGAATTGAGCCAATAACAAAAACGGCTAACTGTTATAGATATTTGCAATATACAATTGAGGGCTGATTGCTCATGCCAAAATAAAAAAACACTCTGTACGCACATGCATGGCATATGCCAAAAACTGAAATGGCAAAAATTTATAACCCCAATTGAATGCCGACAACAATTTGCATAATTTGTGCCACCATTTGATTGGATTGTGCCATATTGGGTGCGTATTATGTAATTTATGTAATGCCTAGCTCCACAGCCATAGCATCGACCCAGACGCAGACAGACCGACAGACAGATAGGTTTCTACAGCGACGCCTGTTGGGTGTGCAACACTAAATTACACTTCAGCTAATTTACCAGTCTCGAGGACATCGTCAGTCGAGTCCGGCAGGCAGAGCATAAAATATTGTTGCCTAATTGTCTCGCCTGTCATTGGGCGAGTGCAATTTAATATTAATGCCATCAAGACTACGTGTTTTTTTATTGCCCATCAATAACGTTACCGAGAGCATAAATAGATTGCCCTCAGCGAGCACCACAAATCACAGGCCATGAGACAGGAAGTCAAGCATCTGTCCCTGTCTTCGCTTACTATACTACTATACATGCGTGTATGTTCAGGTGCAGTTCGTTTCATACCTTAGGGTTTAATGATTTGTCATGCATACGCACTAAGCCCGACTTAAGCCGCCACTTACCTATAAAACGCGAATGCAATGCACCTCATTAGCGCGGAGCCCATTCTTCTCGGCATTCTCTTCGCTGCTTTTCAGCTTTCTCCAACTCGTCGTGTGCGCCTTTTGCATATTTTTCGGCTCGGCTTTCATGTCAATTAATGCGCGCTGCGCACTCGCGTGCTCTTCAAATATTAGCAGACATTATGCATTGCCGCTAAGCTACCGCACTCGAGGCGGCCGCCAACAGCCTCCTACAGCCTCGAACAGCCTTCCCAGCTTCAGCATTATCGTTCGGGTCGGCTGCTGCCAGCAAACTGTCACCGCACAATAACTGCACAAATGAGTTACTCCTTGTTTTGGCACTTGGGGTGCATTTGCACTTTGCTTTTTTGTTCTTTAATCGGGTATTATTTCGATGTCTACCATCTGCCATGGGTGTGTGCCAATGGCGCGGCTTCCATTGCTGCCTCATGTCTTCACGTCTTCTTCATGCAGCTTCGTTCCGTTAAAACTCAAGTGCCAGGATTAACTTGAATGCCTTGCTGATTTCAAGTGGCAAGGCAGCTCAGGCTTTATTTTGCGGCTACTCTGTCCCTTTTTCCGTTTACTGATCTTGCACTGTCCATTAGCAAATATTGTCTGTCGCCGCTAACATACACAAACACATTCAACAATCTATCAATTTAACACCAATTAAACTTTCATTACTAAGTACTGCTATGTGTGTGAAAACTTTATTCAATGCTGCTTGGTTCTGTTGCCGTTGCTTCTGCTGCTGCTTCACAATCCATAGAACCACTCACACCGACCACTTGCCAGCAACTGAGCCGCCACACAGCTGTGCGTCAGTATTTGAATGCAAAAGGCACGACAGCGACAGCGGCAGCGACATCGACTGCGACACATACCGTTATTGAGCGCGGCGTGTATAAGACCGTAATATTTGTGCTTTCTCCGATCCCAAAGCTTTGAGCGAGCTTTGGCCTGGGATATAAGAGCAGGTTGTGGACTTGGGACATTGCGCCGGCGCGTCCTTAATTAGTAATTGCTGCTCGGCAAGGTTTCGGGTTTTGCTTTAGCTGTTACATTTGTCACTTGGCATTTAACCTTGTTCTTGTTGCAGCTGTTGATGCTCTTGCTTTTGAGCTGATGATGATGATGATGATGTTCTGCTACCGTTGCGGCAAGTGTGAACATTTTTGGCATACATTGTACGAGTATGTACATTTGAAGTTAAAAAGCTTATGCAGCCACAATTAACAATTGGCTGGTCGCTGTAGGTACAACAAATTTGACTTGGAAACATTAATCAGAGCTTACACTAGGCTTGGCCAACCAACCACACATGTGTACGAGTATGGTGTGTATGTTGGGGGTTTGAGTGTGTGTGTGTGTATGTATGTGTGTATGGGGGAGAGCTTTGACACTAAGCTAGGCAATTAATCAACACAAAACGGCTGTCAGGCTTTGGGCCAGCCTGACGACCAGCAGGCAACTCTCAACTACTCGAAGGGCATGCATTAACTGATTGTTGGCACACGGCAAACTTCATGTCAGTTTCCATAAAACTTGCGCGAAAAATATCAAAATCAAAGTTACATTTGACAGGCAGACCAGGCCAGACCAGGGCAGAATAGACTAGACCAGACAACTCCGGACGCATTCGACTGCAAAGCAATGGGAATGGTTTTCTTTTGACCAGTTATTGCCTGGCGACTTTTAACAACTTGAACTTCAAGTAGCAAAGTTTGTTCAACTATTGAGCGCATCGGCATTTCGGATTGTCACTCAGGCACTCAGACATTCGGACAATCAGCCAGCCGCATTCTACATAAATTCCTCAATGTGTGCCTATATACTCGTACTCGTACATGCGCCAATTTATCAATTAATGTGGCTAATGAGTGAAATGACTTGCTTTGGCATTTAATGCAAGCAAGGGGTCCGCAATACTAAGTATACCATATACTATATGTATGGCAAAATTAATTAGGATCCAATTCATCAACTCTATGTGCGTACATAATACTATTTGTGTTTGTATGTAGTCGTATAAATGTATGTAGAGGCTGGAACAACATAACTAGATTTGTAGTTACTGCAAATTATTTTAGTTAGTGTTGTTGCTGATGCTCTTTAATTGACAATCAAAGCAAGTAATCAAATTTACTACTTCACATTTTTCATTAGAATTATTATATAGTTTATGTATATTGCCAGCCAACTAATAAACCACCCACTACACCCATCCACTCTCTGCTTCAGCCTCACCAACAAGTTGTACACTGATCGAAACTGGTGGTATGAAAACTAGACCAATCGAAGCGTTCTTAAGATTTCATCCATACAATTTTATTAAGCGTGCATAATTCTAGCCAAATGGAGATTAATAAATCGTAAAAGGATACGTACGTTAATCAATTAATACCCAAAAATTAATGTAAGAAATATCTGCAATATATCTGCATTTACAAGTAAGTGCGAAAGTTGCATGATATCTATTTGCCGGCTGATCTCCTCATCTCAGCGAATATGTATTGTTAAAACCACATTTTATATTTATTTTAGTGTTAATACCATAAATTGACTTCGGGACTGCGTCTATCTGCAGTAACAACAGTTCTAAATTCATTTTTCCTCTGTGTGTACAGCCAACATCTTTTCGCGCCCACATCAAAGGCGAAAAATTGCTAGAACGGACCTTTTAATCAGCAACACGTTTATGCGTGGCTCGGAGCTCGTGCTAGGACGCGACAAAATTTGCGTATGCGGAGTTGAATATATGAAATTACTTGACTAGAAGGTCCAAATGAATAGAAGGATATATTTGTTTAATTTTACGAGTTCACTTATAATGGCATGATTACCTTTGATGGGATGGATGTTTCTTCTTCTTATACAGTTTTTTTTTTAATGAGTCTTTTCTTCACAGGATAGTTAACTAATTAAAATTCGTTAATAACCTCAGCTAAATTATATATTAATATGTGTGCTTGTTGCTAAATAAAAATAATCTTTAATAAATGTTGTAGTACTAGGGTAAGATTGTCTATCTAATAAGTTTTATTTGGACTAACTTTTTTTGAACCCATTGATCAGTTTCCGTCCAGCAAATCAGCGCAATGAATTTGTATACCCCCGTAGTCCTTTTTAGGGAAAAGGACGCTAGGAAGACTTCATATGAGAGGTACATGTAGAATCGTACATATTTTTAATCAAAATCGGCGCACTTTATGATAAACATCAGCTGGTATAGGAACGATTGGAGCAATTAACTATTGTAGTTTAAAAAAAATCGATCAACTTAAGTATTCTAGTCATTTTTATCTAGTTGGTGTTTCAGAGCGCTGTGCAATCGTGTAAACCGAATAAGTTTCCAGCTACGCACCGAGCGGCAAATTGCAGTTGATTTGATTAACTTTGTGGGGTTGAGTGGGGGTTTGAGTGCGTCATGTGGACCATAAAACTGCATACCAGCGAACTATCAGCTACAAATAGCCATAAAGAGACAAAAACAATTTAGACCAAACGATCGATAAAAATTGCGCCATGCAATGGCGCGCACACACAAAATTAGAGCGAAAAAAACTCAGACAGGACAAGTTGAACCGCTCGAAATGTGGAAGGGCGATGGGTAAGAGCTGGGGCTGGGGCACAGGCCGGAAGAGCGGAGCGACGAACAAGCGCCAAGCGCCATGAGCTTGTCATTTAATATCCGCAATTAAAGTGGTCATCAATCAAAATGAACAACAACAAGAAACTTAAATGAATTAAAAGTAAACGAAAGAACAAAGCAAAGGATGAATGCACAAACCAAAATGAAAGCCATAATAAATGGAATGAAGGACACCAAATGAAAATGGCAGGCTAGAATAGCAAAACAAAAAAAAAAACGATAAAGGAAACCAACCAACAATCACCCATACACACATACTCGCGTACATGCACACACACATACTCGTACAATGCAAGGGCCATAAACAAGTTCTATACAAACAAAGCGGCGCAGTACGCTGTACCTATTGATGATTGAGCAGGACATTAATCTAACAAAATGCAGACAGGCTGCTTGCTCCAACGGTCGCTGGTCGCTGGCAGAGGCCAACAACAGCAACAGCAACAACAACAACAATATCAGCCAGAAACAGCGACAACGACCAAATCAACTGACCAACTGTGAAAGTGTCAAATTTCAAGCCACATTGTTGGCGTTGCTGATGTTGGAGGGGCAAGGCGTTGGTGATGACGACGAGGACGAGGACGAGGACGGCGACAGAGATGGCGACGTCAACAAACATAATTACGGCAACATCACCTACCCACCAACCGAAGAACCAACCGAGGAAGCATTCATCCAACCAAACCACAGCCACTGCCGGTGTCAGTTGACAGAGTGTGTATGATTCTTTTGGTGAGAATTTAAAATGGGCCAGGGCTTAATTTATAACCTTTTAATGGACCAATATCAAGGAGGCTTGTGGATTTCATAAGGACTCAGACTCAGGACTCAGCAGCTAACTTATATAGTACTCGTAGAAAGCAAACAAAGTATTTTAGTACACGATTGTTTACGAGTTACGAAGATGGCATTAACCATATGCTCAACACCAGAGATAGCAGTTCGGGCTGCTGCGTTGAGTGGACACAATATACAAGTATAAAGCAAAAAACTAGAAGCGTCTTAACAATAGAATTTTGAATATAAATTCGATTATTAAATTCAATGTGCTGACCAATTAGGTATTTATTTTTTTGATTTGCTTTTTAGTAGACAATCCCTCTGGTCTCTCTCTCTCTCTCTCTCTCTCTCTCTCTCTCTCTCTCTCTCTCTCTCTCTCTCTCTCTCTCTCTCTCTCTCTCTGAAATAAAGATGAATACTGTCCACATCGAATGAGGAGTTCTCAAGTTTCTACAAGTACAGGAATAGGAAAGAAGTAAATAACTTGGATATCAGCGAAGTATGTATGTATGTAGGAGGATGTCCATACATTAAACGCTTGAAGTGATTCTATTAAAGCCGATGTAAGAGAGCATTCATTGTCCTGGTGGAAAGTATTTTAAGTATGCATATAATGTTCTTTATTTATAAGTATCCTTCTCTAACAGCAACAACAAATGCAACTATAGTGATTGAATTAGAACTTGAAAACTTATTTCAGTAAAATGAACGAATCGACTTCTGTTGCAGTTTCGAGTTGTGACAGCGCTTCGGCCTATTGAACGGGCCATTCCCATTGTCAGCCTTCCATGCCACCGAATGGCATTTGCCGCCTGGCCACTACTATCCATTTACAACCGGATATCCCGACATTAATAATGCTAAATAGAAGCCATCAAAGTTTTGCTCATTTGCCAAATTAGAGGCTAAATTAGCGCCGAAACCCACGAGCTCGACTGCGCTCCAGTGTTAAGTTCGCAAGGATGTTGGTTTCCTTGCACAAACATATGTGTGGATGTGTGAGATGAGTCGCATGCACAATGCATGTCTGATGGATGTGATAGGAAAATGCTCAACCCCTGCAAGGCTTAAATGAAAACGGAAAATGTCACTATTAAACAGCAAAGCTGCAGCTACTACAGACGAGTACTCGTTCATGGTTATCCAATGCCCGCAGTCTGACTACCCCTATGCAAGCTTCCATGTCCGTCTTTCATGCGAGTAGGACTATATCCTTTGTTTATTGAATTTGTGGCATTTTTTGTTGCTACTGCGTTGTTATTAAATTTGAAATGCTACACCTTTGTCAGTATCAGATTGCCATGCGGTAAGACAAAGGCGTCCA